GAATTGATGTGATTTTTCCATGTTAGCTGTTCATCAATGATTACACCCAAAAATTTCATCTCATTAACTCTACAAATCTCAACACCCTCAATTTTAAATGGATCATCAACAGTTCTCTTTTTGTTACTAAATATCATGTAATTAGTTTTATCTAAATTTAATGATAATTTATTAAGTTTAAACCAAGTTTGTATTTTATCAAATTCTGTCTTCATCAGTTCCAACATCCGTTTTACGTCTTTACCCAAACAAAAAAATGTGATACATTCACTAAGTCATTCACATATAAAATAAATAACTTTGGTCCAAGTACAGAGCCTTGAGGAACTCCACAAGTGATATTGCACAGGTCAGATCTTACACCATTTATTTGTACAAACTGTTTCCTATCTTTTAAATAGCTAGTTACCCAGTGTAATGCTGTCCTCTTATACCATATTTATTTAATTTTTCAAGGAGAATAGTGTGGTCAATAGTATCGAATGCTTTTTTTAAATCAACAAAAATACTAACACAATACTGTTTTTGATCGACAGCAGTAGTTATTTGTTCCATTATTTCCATGAGAGCCATTGATGTAGAGTTTTTTGCTCTAAACCCATACTGGCTACTACTTAGAATGTTTTGTTTAGTAATAAATTTATCTAATCTGGTCACAAATAGTTTTTTCTAGAATTTTTGAGAACTGTGGTAATAAGGATATTGGTCTATAATTATTGAACACACATTTATCACCATTTTTAAAGAGAGGAACTACCTTAGCTACTTTCATATTGTCTGGAAATATTCCTTTTGAAAATGATAAATTACAAATATATGTAAACGGCTCGATAACATAACTCATTATGTCCTTTACAAACATCATATCCATGTCCACCCAGTCTTTTGATCTCTTATCTGTAAGATTTTTTATTACATTCATTATTTCTTCTTTGTCAGTTCCATTAAGAAAAATACTGTTGTCACAACTTATAACTGAATGGTTCACATTATTGTCTACTTTTGGTATTTTAGCTGCGAGACTTGATCCAACGTTCACAAAATAATGATTAAATCCATTTACAATTTCATTTTCATCATGGATTTCATCGTCATCCTTCAAAAAATATTGTGAAATACCTGTTTTTGCTTTATGACTTTACAGAACACTATTTTTTAGTGTGATTTGCTTAGAAAAGCAGTAAAAGCTTAATTGGGGCGGGGTGTTCAGGCCTGTAATTACAGTTAAATGATCGGGTCTAGTCAGGTTTGGAAAAAAAACCTACGGACTCGGGCCGGATTTTTTAGGCCCAAATGCAAGTTCAGCTCTACTGTCTACTATTACTGTTTTTCTTATACATTTTATTGTTGGATGTAACTGGGACCCTGTGGACATAATTTCGCTCCACCACATGTACCACATGAGGTGCGAATGACAATAAAGAAACTCTGACTCTAAATGATTCTGGGTACAACTTCCTGTCACACGGGAAGTAGCAGTTAGCATTGGTTAACCATGGTAGCGGCGCACGGAGCGTGGTTTATTTGAAAGTAATTAGCATTCAGTTTAGCAGATAAAACTCTGATTTTGTTTTGTTCACATTTCTTTAACAACCATGAAGTTTACTAAAATAGTTCAGGTACCTGTTGTGTTCAGGGCTGCAGAAAAACCTGTTCAACCTCCATTTCAGTTTCAAGTCTGAGCTTTAGCAAAACTCTTACTTCTTTCTAAAATGCAAAAACAGAAAATAAATAAATAAGTTAGGATTGAAGGTGGAGATGATCTTCTGGAAGCCTTCATCTTCTGGAAGAACTCATCTTCTGGAAGAACTCATCTTCTGGAAGAACTGATCTTCTGGAAGAACTCATCTTCTGGAAGCCTTCATCTTCTGGAAGAACTCATCTTCTGGAAGCCTTCATCTTCTGGAAGAACTCATCTTCTGGAAGAACTCATCTTCTGGAAGAACTCATCTTCTGGAAGAACTCATCTTCTGGAAGAACTCATCTTCTGGAAGAACTCATCTTCTGGAAG